CCCCAAAACCCCAAAACCCCAAAACCCCAAAACCCCAAAACCCCAAAACCCCAATTAGTGAATCCTGATAATAATTTCAAAATAAATAATAAAGCGTAATGGGAAACTGATGAACTTCTGAAAAAGAGAAAAATGATATTGATGTGACAAGGATTGGAACAAGGAAGGTAGTTCTAAATAGAGATCCTACTAAGAAAGGACTTGGAGAGACTGAAGATGATAACAAATTCAGATGGAAATTAGATGAAAGACTCAAGAAAGATCTAAGAGATCTATATGATGAATACAAAGAAATGGTTGAAGAAGAGATGCAACCCGAATCTGAAGCAGAAGAAGCTGGTATTAAATTTATATAAACGTGCAAGCCGTGCAAGAAGGTGTATATGAGGGTGGTTGGAGCACCAAGTCCAACCAGAGACTTGGCGAGGGAAGAATTATTTACCACAACGGTACCTTCCACCACGGAATGTGGGACCGGAACCTTCCCAATGGAACCGGCCTCAAAGTATTCACAGATGGAGACGTCTATTTTGGTGAATTCGTCAACGGCAAAATGGAAGGCTACGGTGAATACTTTACAAGTGACGGCAAGCATTATGAAGGAGAATTTGTGAGGAATGTATACGAAGGAGAGGGAACAGAAGAATGGGATGATGGAACGGTTTATAAAGGTGGATGGAAAGCTGGAAAAAAACATGGAAATGGGAAGTTAGACCTAGCTAATGGGTGCTCTTATGAAGGAGGGTTTAAGAATGGCCTATTTGAAGGCAAAGGTAAGAATTCTAGAACAGCTAATTTCTTCAACTACTCTTTTTGGCTTAAAATTTATTTAGGTACCTATAAGTATGAGGATGGGAAGAAATATAAAGGAGACTATCTTAAAAATAAAAGGCATGGCTATGGTGTATTCACTTGGCCAAATGGGAAAATATATGAAGGTCATTGGGTGAACGGCAAACAGCATGGAGGAGCAAACTGCAAGAGAGGAGGAACTGAAGTAGAAACAGAATGGAAAAAAGGAGAGTTAATAAAGGCTTAAAATTTTCGGTATTAATAATTCTTAGGACCTAAATTTCAATCGAAGGACAAACATGGGGTTTTGGGGTTTTGGGGTTTTGGGGTTTTGGGG